AATATTTTACACCACTTATTTCCTTGCTCAGAACAACAAGAGACACTAGAACGTGTCTCTGAAATGTTCACATTTAGCAGACATCCAGGACATATGTAGATCTGCAGGAAATATACCTTGGAGTTGTTTTACAGATCAAAGTCTCTTATTTCAGGTTTGTCAGAAACAGCTGCCCCTTGTGGTGAGCTTCATCACTGCAAGCTTTTCAGAGACAGGGTGTATTCAGAAGTGGGAATTATTCTTAGTTTTCCTGGGGCTTATTTCTGTGTCTTTCCCCATTCTTTTTACATTGCATTACCTGTTGCATTATGGAACTATGGCATTTTGGCCGATATACTGCCATGCTAAGTTTCATTCACACCAGTGAACAACAGGGGGAAACTCAGACATTTTGCCACTCCCTACCCTTTTTGTACGTACTTGTTTCCCCAAACTTCCATCACTTTTCTCCTGCAATTTTCTGGCTTAATGGGATTGCAAACAGAGCTTTTTCCCTGAAAGCAATTAACATGAAAATGAGCACTAAACTTCCACTACATTCCACTAGATTTCCAAAAGTTGATTTACATCATGCAAAGATAACTTAAAACGTGAAAATGACCAGGTAAGGAAACATTAGGAAAATGAAATCAAGTGTGACCTTAAGATGGACGGACTCTGCCCAGGCTACAGCAATGAGGTTGCTGGTCTACAGTTAGTGTCTGGAGACAGTGTCAGATTTACATATAAGCTAAACAAGCTATAGCTTAGGGCCTCACTCTCTTGCCCCCCCCCCAAAAAAAATGAAAGGGGAAAAAATCTGGATGTACTTTGATAAAGTACATATTTTGTTATGTGTGAATGGCTTTAGATACATATTAGGTCCATAAATTACCATATAGCATATATTCAACACAAAAAACAGTGACTTTTTTTTGTTGACAAAGGACAGCTGGACATATAAAGGGCCCCATTACCTTCAGTAGCTTAGGGCATCATCAAACCTAAATCTGGCCCTGTCTGGAGAGCAGACTGTGCAAGCACACACCACACTCTCCTCCACTCTGGTGAAATGTGCTGTATTTCAATTTAATATGGTGTGTAATAGTTTTATTTGTTTACCTATAAGGCATAACAAAGCATAAAGAACATTAAGAGCTGAGCAACAAATTTGACTCTTAATTTTCTGGTTGCTGGTGCAATGAGAAAACACGAGAAGTAACATTATCGTATTAAAATAGTTTAAAAAATAAAAAAAGGCATACAAACATGCTAGGCTTGACAAAACTTTTTTCCTGCAACTAAACTCAATTGAACTATTCTAGCTACTGTTTCTAAATTTGTGGCTATAAATATAAACTACCACATGCATTTTTTTTTTGTTTCAAATCTGTAGTATCATATGTCCTATATTGAGGGAGATGCATTTTTGGGGAGAGAGGGGAATTTGGGGGGAATGTGTAGATAGACACCCTATGCAACTTAGAAAAGTGACTGGAGTTTCCTCATCCTTTTACATGCTATGAGAATAGATGAAATATGGTCAAAATTCATATAGTTGGTTCAATAAAATATCTAATTAATTCTTCACCACCACCCTGAAGAAAAATTAGCAAATGACCTTTTTGCAATATAAAAGTGTTAATCTGGATGTCTTTAGCTGTATATAGTGGTAAAAAGCATTTTCTCCCCTTGAAGCCTACTCCAAAAAAGATGAATTTCAGACCCTTAATAGTATTAAAAACTCACTAGAAACAGAACCCAAGTAAGGATTTATCAAATGTATTGGGGGGGGGTGCTATTAAACTGCCAGGAGCCTGGTATTATGAAAGGAAGAAAATGCTTCTGGTTTGTAAAAGATGTATTAGAAAACAAATTGCCATATACTGAAAATAGTTCTCGTTTTGAGAAATACGGACTTCATGTTATATTTCTGCTCTGTCCAATTAAATATTGATAATACGTTTCTCTTATTTTGGGAGTTGTTGGTGGCCGACAAAGCACCATTCACTCCACCTTGGTTTAAATGCTGCAGTCCAGCCAAGTTTAAACAGAGAGAGAGAGAGAGAGAGAGAGAGAGAGATGCAAGGCCACAGCTTTCTTGATGGTTACTTTGAGAAAGTGGTTTTCAGTGTTGTAAAAAACTCTGAGACATTAGGCAGCTAAATATTTGATAAGGCAGTTACACTTTTAAAATATGGGGAGAAAAATACAAAAAAAACCCCTACAGTATGACGCTTATAAATTTAACATGCTAAAGTGCAAAAAGGAATGATTTTGAAATAAGGCCTTGTACCATGTCACTAAAAAGAAAATGTAATCACCCTCATAGCAGATTTAAATGCATCATGATTACCCAAAAGAAGCAGGGTTGTGAGATCCATTCACACACCCAACACACACCAACACAAAGAAAACCATTCTTCATACTGGAAATGGAGTTAGGATGGTGGGGAAGAATGCATTCTTAAATGGTCCTGAAAATATAAAATATATATTCCCTACAAAGCTGTGTTTAATGGAATAGGTGTTCCGAACTGCAGAAATTATTAAAAGCAGGTAGTACTCAGCTTAAACTCCATTCTAAGATTATGACTAAATGGTGTCAACATTAAACTACCATTCCCCCCTCTCCTTCCCCTGCTTTCTTTAACATTCACCCTGATTAAGAGTTCTGGAGAAGTCAAAAAACTTGCACACTATATTGTGACATTTTTATTGGTCCCAACAAAGACATTGTGTTGCCTGAATGTGGACTCTGGATATTTTAGTGTGGACCAACATTACACGCGGGTGGCGCTGTGGGTTAAACCACAGAGCCTAGGACTTGCTGATCAGAAGGTCAGCGGTTCGAATCCCCACGATGGGGTGAGCTCCCATTGCTCAGTCCCTGCTCCTGCCAACCTAGCAGTTTGAAAGCACATCAAAGTGCAAGTAGATAAATAGGTACCACTCTGGCGGGAAGGTAAACAGCGTTTCCGTGCACTGCTCTGGTTCGCCAGAAGCGGCTTAGTCCTGCTGGCCACATGACCCGGAAGCTGTACGCAGGCTCCCTCGGCCAATAAAGCGAGATGAGCGCCGCAACCCCAGAGTCGGCCACGACTGGACCTAATGGTCAGGGGTCCCTTTACCTTTACCTTTAACATTACATCACTTGCCTTTTGTGTTGCTTTTGGGGAGATGTGCAATCAGAGCTCACGTGTTGTGTCTCATTCTGACCAAACTTACCTTGCAGAATTAATACGAGGATAAAATGGGATACAGAAACCCTACTGTGTGCTGCCCTGAATTCCCTGAAGGAAAGGATAGGTACAGATAGATTTGAGTGAAGCTAATGTTTTTGGCTTCCTTCCTGTGAATGCATACTGGTTTGATTTGGGTAGCAATGTGGAGGTTGGAAAAAAAAGACAAAATGTGTGTATCTTTGAGCATAGCAGGAACTCTCCTGTCACTGAATTATTACTGTATCCATCACCAGGACACCTGGAGAGTGAGCTGCTACCAGCACAATTATTCTGAGGGTCTCAGTGTTAACAGCTCTATGAAAAGTGATGCGATTTGGAATGAAGTGAATGCTTTCCAAAAGTTTGAGATAACGGGCTGCCTTTGCCAGGACAGCTTGAGACAATCTGAAAGTCAGTTTATGGGATATGTGAGGTATTCCAAAAGCTTTTATTTCTCCCCATCTTTTTTGGGGGGGCGGGCAGTGGGAGATAAAGGGATATGCAAATCTGCCAGTTTTGGTTTTTCTCACAGTTTTTCAATTTACTAGTATGAATCTCAGTTCTATCGTTTCCATATCAGTTTGTGGTTTGCCTTTTTCAAGTCCTCATGAAAATTCACCAGCAATATACTATGAATTTAGGGACTGCTTGGTAGATGCTCCCTTAGAGCATAAGACGAGTCCTTCTGAGTCAAGTCAATGGCCCATGTATTCTAGCATCTTGTCCTTACAATAACCAACCAGATGCCCCGGGAAGTCTGCAAGGAGGACTTGAGTGCTACAGCAACTCTCCTCAATAGTGATTCCCAGCAACTGGTATTCCCTTTAACACTACCATGTAGGTGCACACCAAATAGATGCAGCTAGACCTCACTTGGGATGGGGTGAAAATTGCTCTGAGTTCACATTTGAAGATGAAGCTACCTAATTTGCACTTTCAAAAACAACAGGCAAACACCATCCTTCAGAATTTGGATTTCTCCGAATTTTGCAAGGCAGGTTTTCCAGCCGAACAATCTACTAGGGCAAAGTGATCCTACAAAAATACATTATAAGACTGGAAAAAAGTAGAAACCAAAGTTAACAGATTTGTCTAAGTAGTTGCACTCAGTTCAGTTAAAGTTTAATTTTCTGCCAAAACTGTGAACTGGGAAGGGGCTGATCAACTCACCACTTTGCCATAAACTTAAAAGTTGGCCCTTACGCAAGCAACTTCCTACAATAGGAAGCACTGCCATCAGTAATAGCAGTAAAGGTAAAAAGTAAGGTAAAGGACCCCTGGGCGGGTAAGTCCAGTCAAAGGCGACTATGGGGTGCGATCTTCATCAGTAATGAAGGGCTATGTGGAGGATTTATGCAATGGAGCAACTCCCCTATGAGGAAATATTGCAACATTTGGGGCTTTTTAGTTTAGAGGAAAGGTGAGTAAGATAATAGTAGTGGTGTTTAAAATCATGCATGGCATGGAGAAAGTGAATGGAGGGGAGGTGTGATGGTTTCTTCTTTGATCATTTTTTTAAAAAATAGTAACAAGGGGTGGGGGTGAGATTTTGGATCTTCTTATCCAAACCCTTTCTTTGTAATCGTAACTGCTCATGTTTGGGATTATTACTACTGTTATTGTTCTTTTCTTCTTCTTTATTACATCTGTGTCTCTGGGATGCAGGACTTTCACTCCTCACTTCACAGCGAGCAAATGCATCAGTGCAAAATATAATTTGTTCCAAAAGAGGGTATCCATCCATTTGAAGCTTGAGATTGCTGTGCTGAGTTTGACTCTATTATAACTGAACTGGTAATGCATTGGCCGCATCTCTCTCTCTCTCTCTCTCTCTCTCTCTCTCTCTCTGTGTGTGTGTGTGTGAGAGAGAGAGAGAGAGAGAGAATTGGCTTATTATAACAAATTGGTATACACCTTGTTTGCTAGGACAGTTGTGCTTTATATATCTAGTAAATGGGGAGAGTTATACAAAACCACAGCTATAATGTAATTTATATTCTCTTTTGCTTCTAAACATACACCCTAGTTAGACGTCAGACATAATTAAGTTTGTTATTTATTTAAATTGCTGTAGTTTCCGCTCCCCACCTTCACCTCAGGAGGAAGAGGCACATCAATGCCTCCCGTTTCTATATAGCCCAAGTGGGGAGTGGATCTACACTGACCTATTTAATGTTATTAGATATATCGTTCTAAAACGTCACAGGGCATACTGGTAAATTAAAAACGTTCCTTACCTTGTTTTGTCTGTAACAACACAGTTTCCCTATTGCTGGTTCCTTGTTGCTCTGCAGCGCCCTCTGGTGTCACATTTTAATAATATATTACTAACGTTACAAGCAAAACATAGCCCTTATGTCCTTAACCCTTCCTTATCATTATAAACCATGAGTGTAGATCTGCCCAAGGAGTAGCTTTCCCTGCATTTGAGAAGCTGAATCAGGAGCAATGGGGGCTGCCTTAATGTGCTTCACATAGGTACTGGGGAAAAAGCCACCCCTCTCTCCTTCATTTAAAGAAAAAAGTAGGGTGGGTGTTTCCAAAAGCACTTTTGCAAAAGGCTTTAAAACAGCACACACACACACATCTCAGGGAGATTGGCTGCTTTAAAGTCTTTGCAAGTCTCCCCACACTCCTTTTTTAAAGTTCCAAGATTGGGAATTCAAAAGGGATAGGGGGAGAGTTACAAAGATGCACATTTGACAGGTGGGTGGTCTCAGCCACCTTCCCAATTTGGCTTGCAACCCAAAAAGGTTTCTCACAACTGGTGTAGACCATACTGTGAGGAAGATGGACTGGTGGCCTGATTCAATATGTGTATACACATTTGCAAAGAAATGTGTAGTATTGCCTATTGTAAATTACCATTGTGATAATGGCTGTGATTCCTAGCCTGTGTTGATTTCAGTTGGAGGGAGTTAGGTACATGTTTCACTTGCCCCCTCTGAAATCAGTGGGATTTAAGAACACTCAGTTGTGGCTAGATTGTACCCTATGTTAATTGCTTAGTTAATCTGTTAATCTTATTAAAGCAGTACAATAAGTCAACCAAAACACCTTTAATAACACAGCAGCCCTGTTCCTCCACCCGCAGTTCAATCTCTCTCTTCCCCCGCCCTCCCTGCATCACCGGGAAATAAAAAATCTGATATGATTTAAGTGTTTCATAGTTAGATGTACAATCCTTTCTTCTCAAAGATGATTTGCAATTGAGAAAGTGGATGGAAATACATTGCCTGGCATCCTTATATTAACAGAGCAGGCTTCAAAGAAAGTATTATTAATGATGTAATTAATATAGATAGATACAATATACATCAAACAGGTCATTACTGTAAAGGTGTGGATGTTGCAATTTGTATTAAAGATTCATTTTTGAGCTCACAGTCAAAGTGATGGGAGCTGTTCAGTTTGAAACTACATTTGAGAGCAAGTGGTTGAAATTTCCCCACCTCAACCTGTGCGCTAGCTTCCCTCCAGTTTTCTTCATACTCCCTCCTATTTTTCCAAATGTTTGACTGTTTCAGTGATTCACCGGCTGATGTATAGGAGCATGAACCTGGGTTGATATCCCTTTGCCATATATTTTTGCTATATTTGATATTAATGACCTGTGACCTTTGGGTTTTGCTGACCTCAGTCTGCCCTAAAAGCTGATGCCTTTCATTGAGCCTCTCAGAAAGGGTTTCTGGGACATGAAGTGGGAATTTCTATCAGGCGTGCAAGATCCCATTGTGTAATCAAAGTTTTCTTTAAAGTGGGAGACACGGTTTGCTAAAGAGAGATTATCCTATGGCTTCGAGGAACTCTATTATCCTGCCTATGGGTGGTGAAATTGCTAGTTGACATAAACTGGGACATTTCCAGGGAAATCACTGAATTTAGGAGTCACTATTGATAGGGGAGGAAAGAGTCTCCTCATGTCAACTTTTGAACTGTGCTTTAAAAGAAAAAAGTGTGATGTTTCCTGTATAAAAGCATATTAAATCAGTCAAGAATGTTTGCAAATCACTGTTCTCTATGATAGTGGTTTCAAGCTCCTGCGTGAATTTTAATATGTGGGCATATTCAGGTGAAATATACTCAGAGTCGCAAAGTGATTTCATGCTCTTTATTCAGTTCATAGTGGTGAGGAGGAATGAATGAATGTCCCCTCAAAGTATCTGCTTTATATACATTATTTACACAATGGGCTGCACATGATTGGCTAATTCCGGAATTCTACTGTAAGCCAATCAGGTTGTGGATTCACTTCTATCTGGAGCATGATTGGGTGGTTCCTGCCAACCAATCATACTGCTGCATTCTGAATCCTATTGTTCTAGGACCAATCAGACTGCTGCAGTTTGGATCCTATTCAACTCAGTACATAACATCAGGCATGGGGAATATTGTTTTCCTGATTATAAAACTAGCTCTTCTGTCCTTTCCCCCAAACATTTCTTTCACACTGCAGTACCTGTTACATTAGGGAAGTGTGACTTTTTGACCAGTATACTGGTATGTCATGCTAAATTTCATTTGCACCAGTGGGCGTTGTATGATACATAAACAAACATCATTGGACAACCCTTCTGTGTATGTCTGCTACTGTCCCCCCATGATTCACCCATAAAAATGGTAGGAAAGAACTGTATGGTATGATACCACCCCAAACTGCCATCACTTCACTCCCTCAATTTCCTGAGTTAATGGGGTTGCAAATGCTTCTCCCCCCCCCCCGTAAGCAGTTAACACAGAAATGAGTCCTAAACTTCCACTATATTCCACTAGATTTCAGAAAGTGGCTTTTATGTTGGGTGAAGGCCCAAATGTAATGTGGAAGTTTATCAGTTAGGGATACGTCAGGGAAATGGAACAAACTGTTGTGTGAATGCAGCCGGTATCGTGAGTGTTGATGAACCACAAGAAACATCTGGTACTTTTTCACACAGCTCTGAGATAAACAATGAAATCTGATTCCACGAGATGTAGTGGTGCCCACCAATTTGGACATCTCTGAAAGAGTTTTAGACAAACTATTGAAAAGTAAGCAGACTTTTTACCTTTGGTGTCTGCAGCAATACACTGGGAATCACAAGTGGGGAGAATTGCTGTTGTGCTCAGGTCTTGCTTTGGGGCTTCCTAGAAGAGGCACCTGGAGATTAGGATGCTGGACTAGATTAATCTTCTGTCTTGATCCAGCAGGACTCTTCTTGCAGTCTTAGGGGAAGGGTTGTTTGTGTTACTCAGCAATGTAATACTGTTAATAAAACTGTCCAATATCAAGCTGAACTCCTTACCTCACACCCACGCAAAAGACTGCCTGCTTATCTACACGAGAAGCAGAGGGCTGGGAAACCTGTGACTATGAGTTGCACAAACCTTAGTTCCCTACACCAGGTGTACATAAAATTGTGTTTCCCAGCCTCATGTGGAAATGCCCTGCTCGCAGATGCTTTGAAGAAAGAAGGAGTTGATGGTGTGTTTTGTAACATTTGTTTCCTACCCTCTCTCCAGGAGCTAAGTGTGAGATACATGCCCCCCCCTCCCTGTGGGTATCTTCACTGCAACCCTGTGAGATAGGTTAAGCTGAGAAGTAATGATTGGCTTAAGGACACACGGTGAGGTGGCTGATCTGTTTCAGGCAGCAAAATGTCTTGGTGTGCCCCTGGCAGACATGATTTTAGAAATGTGTTATAATATTGTATTCAGTTTGTAGCAGGGAAAGTTTGTCTCTTTTTTTTCAAAATACAGACACTGTGAAGCATGGTTTCTTCCACACCGACATCTTTCCCCATCAAGTCATGGAATATTTGGAGAGTGGCAACACAAGAACGGACCCTTTCAGTGACATGCCCCCCATTTGTGAAATACTCTCCCCAGGGGGGCGTGCCTATTGTGATCTCTGTCTTACACCAGGCAAAGACTTTCCTTTATACCAGGGCTTTGGGGAAACTCTTAATATGAAGGGCATTATGGTGGCCTCTTTCAGTGTGGTATTAATCCTACCTTTTACGTGTATATCTGTGTTTTTAATGTGTTGGTTTTTTAAAAATTTGGTTGTTTTATTTTTATTTTTTTAAAATAATATTTATTACTTTTCCAACAATTTAAACACACACACAAAAAATAAAAATAAAAAAAGAAAAGACTTCTGGGGTGGCGCCATCGGCAATGGCGGACTCCCTCTGAACCGGAGGGACCAGCTCTGCGTGAAACGGGTCCTTTCCGCTGCGGCGAAGCGGGGACCCTTTTAGAAATCACAGGCGGATGAAGCCTGTGACCGTGGGACTCGGCGGGCACCCTTAGCGCCCCCCCAACCTGCAAAGGAACCCACTAACGGGCTCCGAAGCGAAGAGGGGGAAGTGGCGCGGTGCTGTGAGTCAACTGCTTTTTCCGTGGAGCGAAGCCGCATAGCCGTTGCCGGAGAGCGCTGCCTTTTTCCTGGGACAATTTGGCATCTAAAATATTCACCCGTGAGTACTTAAACATTGAACAATTGAACTTCAAATAAGAACTGGTGATTAGAAAGGAATTGGACTTAAAAATTCACCTTAATTTGGTACTGAAACGGGAAGGTCTAAACAGGAAGTCAGCCTTCCGTTTCCTTGTAGTCAGAAGAAAGCAAAGATAACGTACACTAGAGCTTAGAAAATCACTTTTAAAGGATCGGTTTTCACCATTTAAAATTGTTGAACCCCCCTTCGGTAGCAGGAGAAGAAGGGGGATCTTTTTTGGACTGTTTAAACCTGCAGAAGTGAGTTTAAAGTAAAGTAACTTTCCACCATCCTGACCCTGGAGCGGGGTGTCAGAATTGACGTTTTGAAGCTCATTGACCAGAAACAAATGTTTTTGACAGATAGTTAAAAGAAGAGTAACATTGTGATTCCATTGTTTCCTTTCGCATTTTAAAGG